CCAGTTCTGCACAATCTCACACCGTATAATATTGGATTTATTTGCATTGCAGTAGCACCCAAGGACCTAAACTGGGATTGGGGCCCTGTTATGAGAAGGATTGTGAATACAGTGGGTCCTGGTTTTGTCTGCTCTCTACAAACAATGCAAATATTAGTTTCAACCACTTGTTCCAACAGGTATGGGAAGAAGCTCCTGAAATGTAATAATAGTTTTGATCCTCTTTCAAAGTGTCCACCACATTTGCCCAGCTGGAGTCTCCAGGGAAGCTCCATGTTCTTTATTTGCAACCATATCTAGAAAAATTAAAGATCCCTTTTGTACATAAACTGCTAAATAGAACTTCAGAAAGTGGTTCTGATGTAAACCCTTTGTTGCATCCATCTATTGAAGTATGGTTTAAAAAACCCAACCCTACATTGAAATGCTCCATGGAGCTCCAAAGTTGGAGTGATTTATTAATCTTCTGTAGTGGAATTTTATTGGCCAAAGCTACCTACATTGGCCTCCTCTTAAGATTGTGGAGCTGGTCCAAAATGTGATGACTCTGCTGTTCTGTGTAACCCAAATCAGTGCCCTAAAGTGTTATATTGTCTCATCAACCATCTGCATTCTTCTCTTGCCAAGGGGATTTCACAATGACTGGTTCCTTCTTAAAAGGCTTTGAATAATTATGCATATGAAAGAATATCTGACTGGCCACAAAGAGAGAATCCACTGAACAAAACATCCACCTGCCTTTATTCTTTGCATGGAAACAACTGCTCCTGCAGTTAGATACTGACTTAGAGAGACAGTGTGGTCTGCCTGCTTATGTACAAAATATTTCCCTGGAGCTTATATGCTTAAAAACAAAACAAAACCTACTCTGGCGGTATCAATAGTAAACAAAGTTGGTGCTGAATCAATCTGTTATGACAGCACCTTTATCATGTGTCCCATTTATCTCTGACCTGCCCCAAAGAAGTGAGAGACCTATAAAATGACCAACTCACCTTTACTTGGAGCTCACAGTCTAGCTCGCTAAGAAAAAATATATATCAAAGGGGAAACATCTCCTTTCCAAGTGATATGTAATCAAATAGACCCTATATTCTCCTTTATGACCACTCTTTTTTCTCCCCCCCCCCCCCCAAAAATGTTTTCTACAAACCGCCTGAAACATTACTGAGGATTTCTACTGCTTAACCATAAACCATTCCCATGGGGCATAAAAAGACTAAAGCGTGCCACAAATCACTTGTATCAAAACAGCGCTTTCCCTGAGTTTGCAACCCCGAAGAATTTTATCTGCTTCTAGAATAGTAGGAGCTCTTTGTAGCACCATCCTTTCTAACCTAAGCAATTCTAGTCTTTTTCAATCTCTTGCCAAATGGAAGCTTTTCCATAGTCGTCACATTACCATTGTAGTCACCCATTTCTGAACTCACTGTTTCTGCTGTCTCCCTCTTCTAATTAAGCTAAACACAGCATTCGAGGTGAGGTAATTCCATTGATGTGTATAGTAGCATTAGAATCTCTTTCCGTATTTCTATTTCCTTCCCTAGACATTCTTGCATCTGTATTGATGGATGCTGCAAACTGAGCAGAGGACTTTACCGCTTTGTCTTTGTGACATCCAGGTTTCTTTCCTGAGTGGATGCAGTAATTTAGAACTTGGTGATGTTGCACTCTGTTTATTGAAATATAAATATGACATATCTAGCATAAAGCATATTCCGTTATGCCATGTAACACATCTTTGCAAAGGTTATGATCTATTGAATATATTCATCCTATTTGTATGCATGTATCATTTTTATATCTGAAGCTATGAGTGTTGGCTCTATGCTTGTATTTGAAGTGTTTGCTGTAGGAAACACATGAGGGAGATTTGGCTAACGTATTGTGAAGGGACAATGGAAGTAATTAACAATGGACTTAGGGAGACGCTGATCCACATCTGTGCTTTCCTGGGAAAGTTCAAACTAACATGTAAACAATGGCGTCGGCCTGCAGAAAGCTGAATCATTCATGGACATGTGACTTGCCCATGTGGCTGCAAACTCCATCTTGTTGCTGTGATTTTGCACAGAAGAACAAAGGGTTTTCCACCCACAAGAGAATATAAAAGGCCCTGGAAGCCTCGCCATTTTGTCTCTTCAGCTGGCTTAAGAGATGGCCTCTCCACCCCAAAGAGATGCCTGAAAGAAACTGAAACAAAACTGTAACCATGGGGGTGTGAGTGATTGCTGGACCCAGGCCATAAACTACAACATTGGTCTGAAAAGGATTGTACTTGAGATCAGGACGGAGACTCTTGCCTATATGCTCGGGATCTTACTGATCGCCATATTTGGGGTCGGGAAGGAATTTTCCTCCAGGGCAGA